CCAATATCCTTCGTTTCCCACTCATTCTGTTCTAATATCCTTTGTTTTCCACCCATTCTGTTCTAATATCCTGTTTTCCACTCATTCTGTTCTACTATCCTTTGTTATCCACTCATTCTGTTCCAATATCCTTTGTTTTCCACTCATTCTGTTCCAATATCCTTTGTTTTCCACTCATTCTGTTCCAATATCCTTTGTTTTCCACTCATTCTGTTCCAATATCCTTTGTTATCCACTCATTCTGTTCTAATATCCTTTGTTTTCCACTCATTCTGTTCTACTATCCTTTGTTTTCCACTCATTCTGTTCTAATATCCTTTGTTTTCCACTCATTCTGTTCCAATATCCTTTGTTTTCCACTCATTCTGTTCCAATATCCTTTGTTTTCCACTCATTCTGTTCCAATATCCTTTGTTTTCCACTCATTCTGTTCTAATATCCTTTGTTTTCCACTCATTCTGAAACACATTTAAATAATTGTTTTCAACTAACACCAAATGACTCTAACTCATCCTTTTGAGGTAGTTGCAGTTAGCGAGGTCAGTCCTTACGAAAAAAGTCTTGACCTTTAATATCATAATTCTTTTTACAAACTTCAGAACCACTCACCCAAAATAGCAGTTCACTAATATTTAAGTGTAAAACAGATTGATTCCTTTCACCTTGAGTTTGGGCAAATGTCTTTCTGTCACGTGACAATAAACAACATAGGTTTGTTTGCTAATTCATCCTTGTCAGCAAAAATCTGGCTATGAGATTTTATCATGGAATCCTTAACAATACACAGCTCTCTGATAAGTACCTTTTTCACCTTAGAATTGGTATTAGGGCAGATATATTTCTGACTGAATCATTTGCAAACAACTTGTTACAAATAAAACACAAATACAAAATCTAGAATCTAGCTAAATATATTTCATAAACATACTTTTCTCTAATGTTTATACGAAAAATGGAGAGATGGACAGACTGTTCACATCACTTGTCACCAGCTTAACTCATATGAAGAATGAAAGATAACCGTATCTTAAGATGCCATGTTAATTGTAGACAACATGCCAGTTAAAAAATCACCACAGAAAACTAAAGCTCAGCATTTCATAATTTTATTTTGAGATTGTTGTCCAAGATAAAATACAATCAAATTTGACTGTTCCTGTAGTTACACTGTAACATCAAATTAAAAATATCTTGCACATCAATGCTGCACAAATTGTTTCCCATCACATATATACTGTAAGGTGATTCCTGTAGTAAACTTTATACCCCAATATTGTCTGCATTTCCATGAGAAGTGTACACAGAACAAAGGTTAAATTATCACATTGGTTTTCAAATTGAAGGGCTGTATATCTAACATCTATAATTGAACACAGACTTGTTTAGATTTTTAGCAAGGAATGAATTATCTCCCTTTGTAAATTCTTCTAGTTATCTTTAAAATAATCCCACAAAATATTGTCAGAAAAATAATGTTTGTCTGTGGTACAACGCTTAGTGATAGGAAGAGTCATGGATGAAAATGTAACAAAGCAACCAAATGCCATAAAATTAATTCTAAATGTCTTTATCAAACACTTATTTGCTTGTTTATTTTTGCTTAACCTCCTATTTACAGCCAAGGTAATTTCAGGACATGGAAGATTTGGGTTGGAGAGGAAAGTTCCAAGAGAAAACCTATTAACCTTTAGTCAGTATTTGGTGACTGTCCCAGGTAGGCCTCACACATGTGAACCGGAGGTGGATGGCTAGTGATAAAGATGGTCAGATACATTAAACACTCGTCCATCCACTGCCTCTCCAATGATGGGACAGGACTTGGATACCACTAGCACATCAAACTAAATATCTTCCATTATCAATGTACATAAGATTTTATTCCTACTACACCATTCTGTCTCCAGACTTCAAATTTACCCCACCTCTTATCTAAAGCCTATCCTTATCCATTTTACATTCTGTACAATCGCCAATAACTGTTTCATTATTTCATAAATAAAAAAAATGATGTCTGAAGTTTTAGTGAAGACACATGGATGTGTGCATTAGAGAAATAAAGTTTAAAATAGGAGCATACATGCCAAGGGAGATAATCCTTACACAAGTTGCAGGTACAGCGTGTTTTCTGATATGATACTAGTAAATAATGACCAAACATCACAAGGTTATATCAAATATACAAGTCTCCAGATTCGTTCACATTACATCTCTACCACAAAACACAGATAAATATCATAACCCCAAAAAGTCAAACAAATTTTCCACACTACCGATCAGAATTCACTCAGTAACAGATGGTGAAAAAAACCCAAAAAACAAGATCCAAAATATCCTATAAATAGATCTACAGTAAAGTCAATTAATAACATGTTATATTTTATACCTTGCTGTATGAAAACACTGTTATTTTTTGTTGATTTAAATCCTATTAACCATTAAGGTCTTTGAAGAATGTGCGAGGTTTGGGTGTTGGAGGTAAACAGGAATCCCTGTGGAAAAACTGCAGTGTGGAGTCTAGTACTTAGCAACTGCCACACAAAGGCCTCAAACTGATGGTGAAGGGCTACTGATAAAGATGGTCAGGCACCATAACCACTCAGTCACCACGGCCGAAGTATTGACAAACATTCAATAATGTTATTCAGGAGTCGTGTACCTTAATATTGTAACATGGAGGAGCTTATCAGCATGAAATTATATACATAAATATTATAGATGTTTGAAGATGTTATGACGGAATAGTGAATGCCTCTTGTAAAACTGGCATAAAAATCATTATTGATAGGTTGTAATGCCTTATTGGACCACTTACAGATTTCCAATACATTGTTGTTCATTTGTATGTATAAATATGTAAATATACATGTTAATACAAAAGCAGACATCTAATATAACCAGTATACAAGTATTACAATGTATAGTATTGGGACCTGTAGTACATTGTTTAACATTTACAAATAATACATAATTGTTGAACTTATTACAATTTAAGATGTATCATTGTATAGATTTTGAAAGCCAGAAAATTAAATATTTTGTACTAAATATTAAAAATTTTGTTTTACTCGACATCAATTCAAACTAGTTATTGGTAAACCAGATATTGATTTTATACAAGCATATCCGTGGCATTTGCTATCAAATTTTTATCACAATATGCAAATTATTCATTTGTTATTCAACTCTAGTACTAATAGTTACATAGATCATTGAACTTTTCTAGAAATTAGTGCGAAATTCTTTTTTTTAAAGAATATGACAAAATATCATGAATGAAAGTTTAACATGTAAATCTTACATATGATCACTGAGAGGTTGGATTATATATTAATCATAGAAAATTGTCAACAAGATGCTTCAATAGTAACAAAAGAATGGAATATCTGTATTCAGGAATTCATCAGTAACCAAACATACAATGGCCAATGTATTGCTGGACTTGGACTCGTCATACATCAGAAATGATGCCATACAGGCTAGAGATACTTCAAATGTTTTTTGTAACTTCAACATACACCAAGCATCAGGAAAGCTTCACAGCATGTGAAAGACTTTATACTGATATGGAGGTTTTATTGTCCGTTAAATTCTATAGAAAATTTTCATGGAGACAGAAGGAAGGAAATACAAATGCATTATGGGTATTCTAATTGTGTTCCAAACAAGAATTTACACTGATGTTTACCTTAAATAAAATATGAGAAAACACTGTCTTCATATCATTAGGAAGGATAAATTTACAGAGAACACATCAAGGCCAGACACTGGAGAAGAGAAACAACCTAATGTATTCTATTTATTCAGCACAACAATAAGTTAATGTCTGGTAATAAGCCCACCTATAGTCATTATGTTCAATAGAAACAGATATTTAGCAAGCCCCTAAATAGATGAAAATGAGCCAAAGTATGAACAAAAAGAGAAATTTACAAGAGGAATCATGAAAAAGTACAAGGAGAATAATACCAGGTGATCCAGAAGGGTGTCTTCTGATTCATCAACAACACCCACCACGTCAGTCTTGGTCAATCCAAGTAAGTATTGTCGCATTCTCAAATGAGAACAAGGTTTACAACAATGGAACCACATAGCATACTTACAATTATCAGAGTCAGTAAACAAATTCCATTTTTTTTATAATACAGAGTTATCTCCTCTTGTAAGCAGTTAAAATTGTTTCATCATTAGTTTACACAAGGAAGTTTTTTTTTGTTTCCTCATAACATTACTTTCAAACCAAAGACATAACTATCAATGCCAACTCACAAGGGCAGATAACTCTGCATTACGAACAGACAGAATATTGTGAACTTTCTATTACCTGGTCAGGCTGTTGTTCTTTGGCGACCCATTCTTGTTGCTATATTAGGGCCACAACAGTATTGTAAAAGATGAGTAGATGTTATTGACCATGCTATAAAATCTTTGTTGAATTACAGCCTGAATTTGATTTTCAATTATTTTTAGGCATGAAATTGTTAAAATTTGTATTCCTTGAAATTAATAGCAAAAAGTGTAATACATTTCAAGATTTCAGAGATAAAACTATTCCTTTTTCGACATTTTGCAAAATATTTCCTATATCGCAATTGAATCCTTTGCAAATATAATGAAATCTACAGCAAACTGACTACATCATTTAGACCTATTGATTTCTGCACAGTCACTGATTTTTATATCTTAATAAAGTAATTACTTAATTGGAATGACATGCAACCAAATGCTGTCGACATATGATAACAGTGTACACATATACGCAGTAAAAAACAGAAATGGTGTTATTTTTTTAATCTGTGTGAAAAAACAATAACATTTAAAATCTTTTTATTGTTTATAAAATTCTTTTGTTTACTTGCTGAAATTACAGTGTATGAGTTCACAACACCATATCAAATTTGTTTCATAATCTATTGACACCAAAATTATATTGTTCAATTTACTGGTGACTAGAGTATTCTGACTTCTTATTCATAAAAACTTCAATGTAAGAAATTACATTAAATATAGGAATTCATGGTAATTTCTGTGACTTCATCAGAAGGTCTTGTTCAATATATATAAAACCTATCAGTTTCACAATTAACAGACATTTCTCTGATGTGGAAATGATATAATTCAGTAAATCAATCTACACTGGTGTAAATCAGACACTTACTTTATTGCAGAATTACCTAGTTTTGTAATGTATATTTATCAATATTAACAAAAAGATATATTTCAGTCTTGGAATCATAGTTATTTAAAAGATACACAAACCTATAAAAAACTGTGGAGTGAATTCTTATCAATAATCTATATACCTTCATTTAATGGAATCACAAATACATCAGCTAAAATGGTCACAGGAATAGTTAAAAACAAGTCTTTCTAAAACGTCTCTTGCTTGTCATAATATTAATGTGACGCACATTGCACTCTCTGTCCACCCATCCCATCACCGTCCTCATCGTCTCCATATGCTTCGTCTCGTCGTCGACTTGACTGTGCCTTGGGGTCAAATTCAACAAGGTCATGTTCCTCTGCTCCATCAGGAATAATTACTTCCTGTCGGGGTGGCAATATTTTTTCCAGACTACCGACACAAGCAGGGTCTATTTTATCTGGGAATTTAATACTAAATTTGATTATAAGTCGTCCTTTTTCAAATGGGTCCTTGTATATAGGCATGCCTTCATTCATAACACACTTAACAGATGCATGTTTGATTACATCCCCTGAAAGATAAACAATCACATTTAGTTCAATCGTCAGTCAATTCAGAAATTTTCATCTTTTGAAATTTGAGAAATAGAAATATTCCAAAAAAAGAAAGTATGAATAGACCGATAAAAACTACAATTTCTTTTTGAGATTCTCAAAATTCTTCTGTATGGTGAAAACCAAATCATGATCTAGAATATTTGTGTGTGTTTCCTTTGGTCAGGATTTAAGAATGACATTACATGGTGCTGACATACCTGGTAGGTTTGTGAGTACAAGAGTTCTGTCATCAAGTGTGGGGATGGTTTTCTGGAAGCCACAAAGAGTCTCAACAAGATTCAACTCCATCTCCATAATAAGGTCGTTATCATGTCGCCGGAAGGCTGAGTGTTCCTTTTCATCCAGGACAATGATGATGTCACCAGCCTCAAGACCTGGTTCCTGATCTCCCTCACCATGGAAACGGATATTTTGTCCATCTCTCATGCCTTAAGACAGAAGTCTTTCAATTTAACATTGTGACAATATCACACATTTCGTTACATTTCAACACAAAGAATCAAAACTAGGTCTTTCTGAAGATTTGAAATACTTTAGACAGAATTTTGAAAATATGAAGAAAACTGTACCAGCAACCCAATTGTTCCATGTGTTTTCATCTTATGGCAATTGTGCCAGTGTTAGTAGAATTTTACAGCCAGTGACAAATCCAGGAAAACATCGCTCAATTACTTTCTAAGGTATTGGGGAGTTAATTTTTCCATAGTTTTGGTTAAATCATCTTGATCAATATCCTTTTTCAACTCTTGAAACAGGGCAAGAAATGTTCCTCTTATAAAAATGTATTGGGTGTCCACACTATCTTGATATTTGACAACTTCATAGCCATTATAACACTGAAAACAAAAGGAACAGAGCAATATACAATGTAACCCACCTTTGTCGATGTGGACCTCAAGGATCTTTCGTTCACGCACCACTTTTCGTCCCTGACAATGTTTACAGCGGTGCTTGGGATTGATACGCTCTCCCTGTCCCTGACAATCTCCACATACACTCTGTATCTGTTGGACCATTCCTGGGCCTATCTGTTGTATTCGTACCTGCATACCTGTTCCACGACACTGTGTACATTTCTCTACTGCACCTTCCTTACCACCACGACCTATGACAAGCAAGAAAGCAGATGTAGCCAAGTACTAAAGAGGAACACTGAAAACTAACATTCACAATGGAATGTGAAAAAGTCTTGGATGAAGTAAAAGGTAGAAAAAAAAATTGAATGTCAACCACATGTGAAACAATTTGAACCATCAACAGTAATTTGCGAGAAAAGAAAAACAAGATTTGGTATATCACAAAACCATTTAACTCTCTGCATACCCATGTAAGTTTGTGTTATCACAAAAACTTGCTCCTATGTCCTTTGTGATGTCTTGAATTGAGACATCACAGTAAACATGCCTTCATTCCTATCAGACGCCTTGAGACATTGTGAAACATGTTTCCGTTACTTGTAAGTAGGCAAAGTCATGTATAGGAATAGGCAGACAAAGTGTTTATCTAACAAACAAGTATTAAACATAGAATTATGATGACAATAACTATATTTTTTCAAGTCTAGTTATGTATTAAATCAAACACTCAGAACTCTGTTGGATTTTGCCATGTTGTTTATACAGACAACAAAATGACAGACTTGGATTCTACTTTCAATTTCTGGGGCATTTATGATAAGAAAAGCAGAATTAAACCATCAACGGCAATTCAATTAAAAAAAAAGTACAGTTTATTGGCAGAAACAAGAATATAGAGAACTTGTGCATAAAACAAAATAACAAGATTACTAATGAGTGATGAATTACACACGAGTGACATGATGAGCACATACTTTCTATTAGTTTATTTAACGGATGGATCTCACAGATATTCAATAAAAATATTTCAACTCATTTCATATGATAGATTACAGCAAATAAATGTCAACATATCAATATTATTAGCACCACACAGTCATAAATAATTGTTTTATTGAAGCAAGCACTATAGCCATGTGCTCCGATATGCGTTATGGGCCGAGACAGAGGACCGTCCAAAAAGTAACTTCCAGTAACAGTGAAATTTAAATTCAGTATAGTAAGAGTTGCTGTTTCTTATAACAACTTGACATCAATAATATTATATTAACACTATAGCAGAGAGTCACCCCTCTAGATTACTATCGATATGGATGGATCAGGCATCATTTTCCATTGCTATGGTAGAAAACTGAAGAATTTTGAGAACGAATTTTGAGAATTATGCCTACATATTTGCAATATTAACTAATGACTAAAGTTAATGGTCAGTGTTCCCTATTACCCCAAAATAAGGGTACAAACCACTTGCAATTCAAGACTTGTAACTCCAGTTTTCAAGCACTTTCTAATACAAATATACTGTCAGGGATGCAATATACTCTCAGTTTCAAATATAACATAGAACATTGATGGCAACATAAACAACTACCTACCGTCACATTTATCACAGATTACATTTTTCTGAAGAGCCAGTTTCCTTGTGGCTCCTTTATATAAGTCTTCTAAAGAAACCTTGATTTGATGAACAACATCTTTTCCTTTGGCTGGACCTCTTCCCCTGCGACCTCCACCACCACCACCTCCAAAGAACATGTCGAAAATGTCCATGGGTGAGTGGAAGTTGAAACCACCTCCAGCATCACCACCTTTAATGGCTTCCTCACCTCCTCGGTCATAAATCTCTCTCTTTTTAGGGTCAGCCAGTACTTCATAAGCTTGGCTGATTGCTTTGAACTAAGCAAATATTAATAAATGAAATTATATAGATCATACAATCTGTTTAAAACCATTCTGGATTCAAAAATTCCTTTAAAGATTAACAATAAAAATGTATGTTTACAATAGGTCTCCTTACTAAATGTGTTAGCATTTCAAAAAATTATCACTAAGTGTTACTCTTCAATGTATTGATGGAAGATACCAGGTGTAAAGAGTCTGGAAATGCTATGAATAAAATGTAATTGACAAAAATGTTTTATCAAAATTCTTAGGAGTCTAACCAACATTGTGTTTTCCAATTCGTGTTACCTTTTCTCCTTCATCAGGATTTTTGTCAGGATGATATTTCAGAGCAAGTTTTCTGTAAGCTTTCTTCAATTCCTCAGGAGTACAACTGGGATCAACTCCCAGTATTTTGTAGTATGCTGTTTCTTTCACCATTTTTGTCTGTGATAAAAAGACAGAAAGCCAATAAATGAATTTTTCCACAAAGCTTATCTAAACCTCATTCTACATTGTTCTTTGTTCGTCGAATTCTTCTACTTCATGTCATGACTTTGGTATGGGCACGGTCACGAAACGATAATTAAACAAAAGATTCGTCTCTGTGCAGGTTTTAAAACGAACCGGGAACCTGTTTTTTGCCTAGTAATTTCAAGTCGGTAAAACAATGATAACTTGCGAGTACAAATTGAGAACAAACATTCTTAAAAACAAAGAGTTCAATTTTAACTTGGTATTCTTAACGTCTTCAATCATAATGGATATATACGAGTCAGTTAATTCTGACGCCGTTTCATTGACAAGACGTCCGCGTTGCTTCGGATCGACGCATGGAATAAAACCGTGTGTATAAAGGAAAAGAAATAAAAATGCCTTACCTTGAATTAACTTCTAACACGTATCCGTTTCTGATGCAGGATATGTGTCTTCTCTCTTAAACGACTGAAAATTAACCACTCAGCTACAGAAATATCACTTTTATGTCAATGATCCTTCTCGAACATGTAGAAACTTCCAGACTCATGGTCCAATAAACCGGAAATTGCGTCACAGTGCATTGAATTCTGGGACGTAAACTAAAAGCGCCATTTCCTGGATTTTTAAAGCGATGAAACACACGATTTTTTTATGAGTATTCGTGTATTGTGGATGACAGGTAGTAATTTTTTAAAAAATCATTTGCAAAGGTATCCATGTGTTTCCGTTAACAAGATTTTAAACAGATTGCATACAACACAAACAAGATTACGAATGCATTACTTCATTTTCTTAAAGCGAGTACGAGCATGTTTCTGAACAATAAGTGGCTACGCCGGCTAGCTTTAACACATAAAACTACAAATTATGGCGATGAGTAAACTCGACGTATTGTCATATATTTTCTCTCACAGAATAAATTTAAGACAATCCAGTGATTATACTTTTCTGATATCTTCTGTTAGACATGTAAACATTTTCGGTTCAACTGGACGAATAAAAATGTAAACAATGCAGCTTGGTGTCGATCTGTCAATGTTTACGTTTTTATTTGTGGTTCATGCTCTGTTTGTAAATTTCTGTGGCTTGATTGAATTACTGCTTATATCTAGAAACGCATTTACAAGCACTAAGCAAGCTTGGAGTTAGTCCAAAGGGTGCTAATTATCTGCTGTTATTTATGTTTTCCCTGTTTTGGTCGCTTGTGAAATTTTGTTGCCCTTACAAGGGTTGGCTTTCAGGAAATTTTTTGTATTTTAAATACCTCAATGGAAAGTTAAAACTTTTTTTCTGTTTTGCATATATGTCAATCCAATGGTTTGCATGAAATGTCCTAAACTAAAAATATCCACTCATTTTTCTGAGCAACCTCACATCCAAGCTTATATTTCAATGGCCACCACTTCAGAATCCCTCTTGAAACATTCTTCCAAACCAAATTTTGCTGTTAACAATATTTAATGGCTTAACCATATATGCTAGTTGGTAGAAAAATATTTTCTCTTTCCATCAATGTATGTTTTTCAACTACTGCATTGTTGTATAATACATAGAAATTGCTTGAATGCCAACCTATCACAATCACAGACAGTCAACTCTACTGAATAGCTTGAAGTTGATGCATCAAACAGTAATATTTATGCTCAGCGTTCACTTCTAGATTGATCAGATATAATTTCTTGTCATGTTGAAATATAAGTACTGGATCAGGTTTTTGCATCTCCAACTGCCCTGTTTATTATCCCTAGAAAACTTGTGACAAGTTGATGTACTTATTACAATATCAGTGCTTTTATCATCAATAATTCATTTTAATTTATTTTCCTATAGTAAATGGATACCTTCACGTTGATATTTAATTCACTGAGCTCTAGATATCTATCATTCACATATATTCTGAAATTGTGTATTTATATACTTTTTTCATGTTTAGAACAATATTGTTTACCGCTGCACTATGATTGAGAGTGTACAAGCACGTCAACGAGGAGCATATGACTTTGAGGGTCACTATGACAACCTGTGTGCCATGCAGGATTCCTGCCCCCTCCCTGCAGTCAAAGCCCATCTGGGTCAGGCAGTGCTTGACCTCAATGGGGACAGGGTCAGGTGAGATATAATTATTTATAAACCTGAAATGTGATCTTACAGTAAGCACAGGATGCTCATGATCAGCTGGCATTCATTGATATTTCTACAGAAGTAAAATGCATATAAATATGAATGAACTTATCATCCATGGTATGTTGATTGTCCTGTAAACACTTAAACTCCTAATTAGGCAGTTGTGGATTCAGATTTTGAAGTTGGCTTGTACTTATTATATAGAACTGAAAATGGGAATCATCTGAAGCCTTCGAAGACATGTATACATGATATATAATCAAATTTCATGGATCCTGTTTCAAACATGCTAAAATATGCAGACTTTCAATTCAAAATGTATATTAATGAAATTGAATCCTTGATTTGATTTGCGTTCCAGAGCTAATGACTGGCAGCCGATACTAAACACTCTCCGCATCAATAAGAACCTGGAGTTTATTGCCTTCCGTAGCTACTATCAACCTCCTTCTGAGGACAATGGTAACTATATAAACAACTAAATCTACGTTGTCAAATTGAAAATGTCACTTTCCTGAAAAAGGGTGATATTTTCAGTCTTTTAAATATTTTCAATAGATTCAACAAAGGGAAACAATCAACAATTATTGTAGTGTATATGATAAATAGTCAATATCCTTACCTCACGGTCTTCTGTATATAATATATAGTTAATATTCTTACCTCAGGATACCTTAGAGTCTTCTGTATATAATAAATAGTCAATATCCTTACCTAAGGATACCTTGGGATCTGTATATAATATATAGTTAATATCCTTACCTCAGGATACCTTAGAGTCTTCTGTATATAATATATAGTTAAAATATCCTTACCTCGGGATACCTTAGGGTCTTCTGTATATAATATATAGTTAATATCCTTACGTGAGGATACCTTAGGGTCTTCTGTATATAATATATAGTTAATATCCTTACGTGAGGATACCTTAGTATCTGTATATAATATATAGTTAATATCCTTACGTCAGGACACCTTAGGGTCTGTATATAATGTATAGTTGATATCCTTACCTCAGGATACCTTAGAGTCTTCTGTATATAATATATAGTTAAAAATATCCTTACCTCGGGATACTTTAGGGTCTTCTGTATATAATGTATAGTTAATATCCTTACCTCGGGATACCTTAGGGTCTTCTGTATATAATTTATAGTTAATATCCTTACGTCAGGATACCTTGGGATCTGTATATAATATATAGTTAATATCCTTACGTCAGGATACCTTAGGGTCTGTATATAATATGTAGTTAATATCCTTACGTCAGGATACCTTGGGATCTGTATATAATGTATAGTTAATATCCTTACGTCAGGATACCTTAGTATCTGTTATAATATATAGTTAATCCTTATGTCAGGATACCTTAGGATCTGTATATAATATATAGTTAATATCCTTACCTCAGGACACCTTAGTATCTGTATATAATATATAGTTAATATCCTTACGTCAGGACACCTTAGGGTCTGTATATAATGTATAGTTGATATCCTTACCTCAGGATACCTTAGAGTCTTCTGTATATAATATATAGTTAAAAATATCCTTACCTCGGGATACTTTAGGGTCTTCTGTATATAATATATAGTTAATATCCTTACCTCGGGATACCTTATGTGAGGTACCTTAGTATCTGTATATAATATATAGTTAATATCCTTCTGTATATAATTTATAGTTAATATCCTTACGTCAGGATACCTTGGGATCTGTATATAATATATAGTTAATATCCTTACGTCAGGATACCTTAGGGTCTGTATATAATATATAGTTAATATCCTTACGTCAGGATACCTTGGGATCTGTATATAATGTATAGTTAATATCCTTATGTCAGGATACCTTAGTATCTGTTATAATATATATATAATCCTTATGTCAGGATACCTTAGGATCTGTATATAATATATAGTTAATATCCTTATCTCAGGACACCTTAGGATCTGTATATAATATATAGTCAATATCCTTATCGTCAGGATACCTTAGGATCTGTATATAATATATAGTAAAAAGTATCCTTACGTCAGGTATAGTTAATATCCTTAGTATCTGTATATAATATATAGTCAATATCCTTACGTCAGGATACCTTAGTATCTGTATATAATATATAGTTAATATCCTTACGTCAGGATACCTTGGGATCTGTATATAATGTATAGTTAATATCCTTACGTCAGGATACCTTAGTATCTGTTATAATATATAGTTAATCCTTATGTCAGGATACCTTAGGATCTGTATATAATATATAGTTAATATCCTTACCTCAGGACACCTTAGGATCTGTATATAATATATAGTCAATATCCTTACGTCAGGATACCTTAGGATCTGTATATAATATATAGTCAGTATCCTTACGTCAGGATACCTTAGTATCTGTATATAATATATAGTCAATATCCTTACGTCAGCAGGGTTTTCCATAATTTTATTAGTATAGGCTGTGTAGTGAAAGTAGGAGGCTGGCCTGCCGTGTATGAGTAGTCGTGTACGGAACGTTATTATGGAACTGGATTGGTGTAGGCGGCCAAATGATCAAAGTAGCTGGTCAAATTGGCCGGCTACCGGCACTTATGGAAAACCCTGCGTCAGGATACCTTAGGGTCTTCTGTATATAATATATAGTTCATATCCTTACGTCAGGATACCTTATGATCTTCTGTATATAATATATAGTTAATATCCTTATGTCATGATACCTTGGGATCTTCAATGGATGCTGGTCTATTCGACCATTATTACCACATCTAAATGATCAGTTTTGTTATTTGTACTGTTTACGTGAGACCTTCTGGTGTTGTCTGAGTTGTGGTTGTATTTTACATCATGGTCTTTTCCAAAATTTATCTGATCTCGCTTCAAAACATTGAATAGATTTTGTCTGCACCACTCATTCCTGTAGATTATTCTGATTATCCATTGCTCTGTAAGTGAAGCTGAACTTCCTCACATTTGTGTTGCAGCACTGTTTATGTACTTACTGTGTCCCCATGTGGATGTACTTTTTGTTTTAGTGAAGAATCCATCAGTTACTTTTTTGTTGTATATACCATTCATGATCTTAAACATGTCTATCACCTCTTAAAGATCTATATTTTAGTGTTGGCATCTTTAGTTTCTTCAAAACGTCACTATAATATATGTCTTTCAATGATAGAATTAGCTTTTTCTGTAAGTTCCATGTCCTTCTTTTTGTATTGTGACCACAATGCCTGATCATACTATAAAAAGTGGATCCCTTCAAGAGAAATTTCATATCTTGCACTGATATTTAACAAAAAATCTAGATTTATATTCAATCAATCACAGAAAAGGTACAGTCTAGTCACCTATTTATTACGTAAGACCACAAAACACAAATAACACATTCACAGAAATTTGTCTTTAATGTTTAGGTTCATGTTACAATTTTGTGTGTAACTTTACAGAGAAGAAGGCTATGATTGAGAAGAGGAAGATGCCAGCTGTACGGTCCAAAGAGATCACCTACCGGCTATGTAAGGCTTTAAAAGAATGTCTGATTCACACTCCAACATTGTCCTGTCTGGAGCTTCAGGGTCTACCGCTTCGGGAACGGGATCTATCCACACTGGTGAAGGTACTCTCCTTTTCCTGTGTTATCTCCATTGATTTTTCTATTCTTTCTTAATTACCTGAGTCCTGGGTCTTTCTTTACTATATATAGAGAATTAGGTCTTGTTCTGAAACCTATGGATTTACAAGCCATGGGAAAATTAATTACTGATAATGTAACATTTAGTTGGAAAGACAGTGAAATAAAAATGACTTTAGACAAATATTACGAAACCTTTTCTTTTTCAGTCATATAGGAATTGTGGGATCAACCATACATGATTAAGAAGTTTTGAATCATTTCAGTCTGAGAATGTGTATTCTTGAGTCATTTTTTGTGACATAGATTTTTCTTGTGTTGCAGGGCCTGGTAAAGAATACAACATTAAATCACTTATCATTGGAATACTGTCGCATCGGAGATGCTGGTCTAGATAGTAAGTGTTAAATTATCTCCCCTTCCTTCATTTACAGTAGTAAACATAAATCTGTTCAGATGATATTGAGTTTTCTCCCCTGTTTTGGATATAGTGGTAGTGATAACTTGTTGAGGCGGTAAATAGCTATCTCCCCTTCCTATATGTATGGCAGGAGAGCTATCTCCCCCTCCTGTGTGTATGGTAGGAGAGTTATCTCCCCTTCCTGTGTGTATGGTAGGAGAGTTATCTCCCCTCCCTGTGTATATTGTGGTGTAGATAAACTTGTTGAGATGGTATATGAACTGACTGGCTTTAGAAATGCAACTTCTAATTGTTAAACATTTTGTATTGAATATACATAGCCATGCAAAATGTAAGAGGAATCTTAGGGCACTTTACCTATCCCCCAATAAATGTTAAAAATCTGTCGTCTGTGACAAAACACTTACCCACCTCTAGTACACCTAAATTACCAATATACCATGACTGTGCTATTTCATGCCTTTTCCATTTAAACTAGTGTTGATTTCTGATCATCACTAAGACTCGAGATCATCAATGTATTTGCAATTAAAAATCTTTTTTTATAAACATGCCAAGACTATTCCAACTTGATAGAGGGCAGACTTTCGCAATGCTTATGGAAAGTAGTACTCGACAGCAGGTCACTACTCACTTTGAGTTCACTAATTGGGTTAGTTTTACATCTCAACACCATAGAAAAAGTTGATGACATATTGATATGCAAAGATGTAGTGTCATTATTTTAAGATTGCTTTATTAGGCTTGCTGATTCACATGACAGGAGACTAATATCAAATGAAAAGGCATAAAATATCATTGGTAATGAAAAGTGATGAATCCATGCAGAAATAGTGAGAAGTTGAGAAGAAGGCTGCGAGAGGCAAATTTACGCCCACGTCACCAGTATGTTGGTTATCCAGATACCTCAATGTTGAACTTATCGTATGCGATGGTTGAAGGCACGTGCCAGGGCATTTCCCTATGAGACGTCAGAGGGCGTACTCTTCACAGATGCACATTATTTCAATTAGATGGCTGTTTACATGTGTACCAGGGTTGAGGAGGGCATCTTGCAGATGCTTGTGTTTTGGGGTTGGATCGGTTATGGTTTGGGAAGGAATTTTCTATGGTTTAAAGTCATATTTATTGATCATTAACAGGAATTTTAGGGATGTGCACTATTGAGATGTGATCCTGAGGCCTCATGTTTTGCCTTACATTATAAAGCACTAGCTGACCTTTCAGCATGTAACACTACACGTTGCAAGAGTTTGTAATAACATTTCTCTATGGACAGTCAATGTCCTTATGAACTCCATGCCACACAGAATTAGAGACACTGTAGCTGTTCAGGGAAGGCACACAGGATATTATACATAGGTCTGACAACCGTCGTTCAGGGCAGACACACAGGATATTAAACATAGGTTTGACAGCCATCGTCCAGGGAAGGCACCGGGATATTATATATAGGTTGACAGCCGTCGTTCAGGGAAGGCACACAGGATATTATACATAGGTCTGAGAGCCGTCATTCAGAGAAGACGCACAGGATATTATGCATAGGTCTGACAGCCGACGTTCAGGGAAGGCACCGGGATATTATACATAGGTCTGACAGCTGTCGTCCAGGGAAGGCACCGGGATATTATATATAGGTCTGACAACTGTCGTTCAGGGAAGGCACACAGGATATTAAGTATAGGTCTGACAACCGTCGTTCGGGGAAGTCACACAGGATATTATACATAGGTCTGACAACCGTCGTTCAGGGAAGGCACACAGGATATTATACATAGGTCTGACAGCCGTCGTCCAGGGAAGGCACCGGGATATTATATATAGGTCTGACAACTGTCGTTCAGGGAAGGCACACAGGATATTATGTATAGGTCTGACAACCGTCGTTCAGGGAAGTCACACAGGATATTATACATAGGTCTGACAACCGTCGTTCAGGGAAGGCACACAAGATATTATACATAGGTCTGACAACCGTCGTTCAGGGAAGGCACACAGGATATTATACATAGGTCTGACAACCGTCGTTCAGGGAAGGCACACAGGATATTATACATAGATCTGACAGCCGTCATCATTTAAACTTTGTGTACATTAGGATACCCCAACTCTTGTAGCCTGATGAAGTCCTCATTTGCTATAAATCTCTGACAGTTTGAAGTCAGATGGTTCAATATTCCAAGTGCAGCATGTCACATTTAGGTATGTTGCTCGTCATTATGTTATTAAACTGTTAAGTTGTAGCTGCATTTCTTTTTCCTCTTTGTCCAGATTTCCCCATTTTAAGAACTGTAGCTTAATAATGTTTTCCATATTTTATAGTTGTGAGTAAGGGTATCAAGAATTCCACAACCATCAACTCAGTGAACTTTACTGGCTGCAGTCTGACAGGGCGCGGGTCTGAATCTTTGGCCAAGGTTATCAAGGTAAGTCATGTTTATAAATTTTATTTTAAGAGCCAGACCCACTCCTCGGCCAATGTTATTTTATATATAAAAAAATCATGATTTTCTATTTTTCTCGAGTAGCAATATTCTGACTAACCCTGTAATATCGCAATTTTAAAGTAAATCGCTACCAATCTAACGTAATAGGGGAAGTCCTGCCCTCTGACGCATGCGTAAAGAACTGTTAATAAATCTGCCGTCTTCCAACATGGCAGAAAGGGTGCGAGGGAAGCAGAGAAGAAAACATGTTTTGACGGACTTTGAGGTGAAAAGAAGGAAGATGGCTGGTTCATATTCTGTATCGCTCTAAGTTTGGCTCTCTCGTGTAGTATCACTCTAAAATCATGTTCATAAATACTTGTCCAATATTCGCTTTAAATAGATCTATTTTGCGATATTCTATATATTTGTTACCATATCGTAGCCCCCATTTGAGGGCCTCTTTGCAATAAATTGTAGTTTTTCTTGTAATATGCACATTTTTGTGTCATAACTAAGCGTTGAAAGATGTGATCAATATATACATTAGATGATTTCCATACAGGATATATAGAGTATTGATTGCATTTATTGGTAAAATCTCTTTACAATCGATGTCACATGGACGTACTACTCACCTCTTCCTCCATTTTTATATGCCCGTCGAAAGACGGACGTATTATGGGATGGCGTTGTCCATCCGTCCGCTGTCCGTCGTAAACTTTTATTTGTCCGGAGATCTCCTCCTACATTTTTCAGCCGATCTTTATGAAACTTGGTAGGCTTAATCACAATGATATGAAATAGTGTTTTCCTGAACTGGGTTTTGATGAGAGAATTTGAATAAGAGTTATGCCCCTTTGCCGTTTTGGATATTCACGGGCGTATTTTGTTCTCCTTTGCGGTGCTCTTGTTGTTTTGGTTCTGACCGCGTCTGAACGTATCACATGACTTTTCCTCATCAATATTCATATCCTGGTGTTGATTAATGAGACTAATTCCGGCACCGATATCTCCGGTACCCTTTCAATTTCAAGTTTGAAACTTTATACAAGTCTTTATTTATATATTATCTGTTAGTATACAACAACATTCCCAGTCAATAAAATATGAAAAAAAATCTATAACAGAGTGGGTCCGGCTCTTTAACATAACAATTCCACTATGTACCACTGCTAATCAAGTTTACTTACAAACTGTCTTACCTCAACTTATGAATAATTGAAGTCAACTCTACTGCTTAACTGGTTAGGGGTCATGTCCCCTGTCTAAATAAGTGGGCGGTGTTGTGTGTGAAAGTGTCTGTTTGGATATCTTTGGTTTTGTGTATTTGTTTGTAAGATCATTATTTTGCCTAGAGTTGTCTCCCCTCCATCATCCTTCAGAGAATTCATTAGTATATATGGTATGGTATATCTAATAGATTCCCTTACAATACTGTTGTGTGGTTTAAATCAGTCATCACTTAATTTATATTCCAGTTGTTGGTGAAGACAAGTGTGTTTTAACCTACATGGAGGATTGCTCAGTCTGAGAATATATAGTATTGATACCAAGCTCTCAGCTGATGTAGCACAGCAACATTCAAATAGAATGGCTGGTGCATATTTCATGTTTAATAGGTAACGAATTGTGTATTGGTGTAGATAAGGTTTGTTAAAGTGGTCACCATTTTCTTATGGCTGGACTGTAGAGTGGTACAGTGGGGACCTGGGTCCAATTATTTGATCGGACATCGGTTAGGGATCACCTGTCCCACTACATTCCTCTAACTGGAAGTTTTCTTCCATCAAGACCAATAAGACTGAATGATACAAGCTCATAGCTTGTTTTATCACAATTGTTGTCCAAATAGTAAATAGTTTTAGTCTAATAGGTTAGAAGGACAAGAGAAAAATGATCACTTTTGTGTGATGTACATTAAGGGAGGGAACTCAAATTTAAGATTAAAGAAGTTCAGAACTCACTCGAATTTTCTTTCTAAATCTCAAGAAATTAATAGAGTTGAAATTTCTCAGTGTATAGGAACCAAAAAAGGAATGAATCAATTACTGATCATTTTGCATATCCTATAATTATACCCTCTATTTAATAAGGAAAAGGGTACAGTAATCTCATTGTCTATTGGTCTGTATATACCGGCATGCTTGCATGTTCCCTGCCATAAAAAGCTTGTGTTATAAGATATCATGAACTGTGGAAGAATAGATTTTGTTTTTATGTACACCATAAAATCACACAATAAATTTCTATACCTGATTGGATTTTGGTTACCACCCTTTTTAAAATCAGGTAGAAGATAGATAATGAATTCCTTAGCAGATTTAGTTGGAAATATAAAGATCAGAGATGGGATATTGGGAGTGTGATTGGACTGTAATGGTATTTATTGGTATTTTATACAAATTGCCCTGGGTCTGTGCTGTTTCTGTCAGTCTTTATACATTGTTATTGTGACATAAGAAGTAATGGATGAATCTTAATTAAATTAGTATGTATGTTCCCCTTGGTCCCTAGTTGTGCAAGGCTCCATTTTGAGACTGATCAGAAAGAAGTTAATGGCCAATTTGGATTTTGAATATTTTGTTATTGCTACTTCTTGAAATGTTTAAATTTCATATTTTGGGACCCTTTGGTCCCTAGTTTTGCTTCATCCTACATTTTGGATTGATCCAAAAAAACTTTTAAAGTGATAGTTTGTAATCACAATTTTTTTTGGATGTAATGATTGGATCTGTGACAAATTTCATATGTAGATTCTGCTCTGTCTTTAATTGTGATAATTTAATTTTCAGTCTGAGAGATAAGGTGTTGTCCCTGTAATAAGCCCATCTCCTGACTCAGATAGTTTGTCCTTTATAAGCCCATTCAGTGAGCCAGAGATTTGGTGTTGCCCTGAAATAGGTCTAACCCCTGAGTCAAAGATAAGTTGTTGACCCTGAAAAAGGCTCATATCCTTTAGTCATAGACTTGGTGTTGACCCTGTAATAAGTGTATACCTTGAGTCATTGATTAGACTTTGGCCCTGTAATAAGCCTTCTCTCAGAGTCAAAGATTAGGTGTAAGCCCAGTTATAAGCTTAGTCCCTGGGTCAAAGATTAGGTGTAAGCCCAGTTATAAGCTTAGTCCCTGGGTCAAAGATTAGGTGTAAGCCCAGTTATAAGCTCACTCCCTGAGTCAAAGATTAGGTGTAAGCCCAGTTATAAGCTTAGTCCCTGGGTCAAAGATTAGGTGTAAGCCCAGTTATAAGCTTAGTCCCTGGGTCAAAGATTAGGTGTAAGCCCAGTTATAAGCTTAGTCCCTGGGTCAAAGATTAGGTGTAAGCCCAGTTATAAGCTCACTCCCTGAGTCAAAGATGAGGTCATGACCCTGTAATAAGCCCCCACCCCCCCCGAGCCGTATATTAGATGTTGACCCATTGACTTACAATAAGATAAACATCATAATCAGATTGTCATTTTCTGTTCACCACAAACCTCCATGCTTTTCATAAATTATGCATCTCCACGGCTATTTGATTCTATAGATAAAATTTTACTTTACTTTGTTAATTTTGATCTGTGTATGGTTTTTTGGGGATGTACTTGATGGATTAAAACTTACCATGAAATCAATGAAAAGAAAATCCAACAAAATTAGTTATTTTACATGATTTAGTGAGGAGTAAGTTATGGTCAGGAATCTCATGCCTGTAGACTGTTATTGGTATTGCTAGTTCTAGATTGACAAATATTGACAGTCTACTACGATATCACAACTACCATATCATCCCTGTACAATACAATCAGGACTGACTTTCGTGGTTAATTGATGTGCGATGTAAATATGTCTGTAATGTTAACAGTGTGAGAATCAATACCCCACAATTATCAGTGTTTGCATCACTATTTAAGCTAATATTTCATAGTGTTTGGGAAATTCTCCAATAAATCGTGTCCAGTGTATCCTCGCTGACCTGTCAAGCTCACACATGTAGTCTAGTATATCTCGACAGGCCTTTCAACCTTGTCTGACTTGTGACTACTGGTCTCACCTCAGAAATGTAATGATAGTTTCGCTCCCTTTATCATATAACTGACTTGTCATTGGCTAAGATAATGAAAATATAGAGCGGAGATTTGACAAGGAAATGTCTCTGGTTCTTGTTATTTGTTTTTTAAAATAATATTCAGTATCCTCCATCACACACATACCACACACACACACACAGACACACACACAGGCATGCCCGCATGCACATACGCACACACACACACACACACACACCCACACACTCACGCACGCACACACGCACACACAACACACACATACACACACACACACACACACACAGAAACACACACGCACACAAAACACACAACCACACACAACCACACACACGCACACACACGCATGCATGCACACACACACACACACCCTTATATTTTGAAATGGGTACACCTTATCTCTAACAATGTATTCATATAGATGAGTTCTTGAAAACTTTCTTGAAAACTAGGGGTACAAATCTTAAATTTTGGAAATTTAAGGAGTTTCTTCCCTTTTTCAAGGATAATTGGGAGTACTGCATTTGACTGCATTAAGTGAATAATTGTTCACTTGATAAAAATGAACTTCATTTTTTAATAAATATAAAGGTCTCTGTTTGTTTCATGTCACCAAAGGTTCACTGTTTCAGTGCTCTCATTTCAAATTAAAAATTTCACGTATATATATCAGAAAGCTTGTACCTGATGATTATCATGTCTTCCCACATATGTTTAGCATTATAAATGAGTTCTAATTTCATATTTTATGAAATGAGTCTTAGAAGTTAAGGCTAAGAAAAAATCCTAACTTCAAGAGTTGCATAAAATCTCATATAAATTGTAAACAAATTGAAGTTTGACAAGACTTGAAGTGAAAATGTCAAGGACAAAATCAAATAGAGGCAGCGATTTTGTTGTGCAATATTCAGCTAATGACATAATGTCATTGCATGTCTATATTTTGACATCATAATTAATTTCTGATTTTGTCCACACGGACAAATTCTCTGGATAACTGGCTGATTGTGTGATAAATATAATGTAAAATTTTACATTCTTGTTACAATCCCAAAGTGACTTTGGGTAAGATTTGATGTGTTGTTTCCCTCAGGGCTGGTAATATAGGAACACAGGAAGGAAGAATATAATACAGCCGTGCTATTAAACCTGGGGATCCTTAAATGGTCCTTAAACGTGTTGCTAAGCCAGTTATATTTGCTGTCTTTGTTATGACATTTATGATCTGCATTTGACAAAGTCAAAACTAAAGACGGTTTTAGACTTAAGGTTGCCTCATGATCCTGGTGTATTCACTAAGAGTTTTAAATCAAATTTCTTTTTCTTTCAGTGATAAAGAAAATTTAGACTAAGGATTTTGTAAATATGTTACTGTTATTCTTAACCATGTAATGTTGATTTATTTGAGAAAGATAACTGAGGTGAATTTGAAACTTCACCCTTAATTCCTGAACAAAACAGTTCCCTGACATGGCATCAAATTTAGAGTTGAATGCTCTTTATTTAAATTTTTTACAAATGTTATAGAGGAAGGGTCTCTGATCGTATTGATTGTTCCTCATTAAAATGAAGGAGTGGTAGAGTGCATCCGTTGAAATCCTGTCACTAAATTTGAATTTATGACTACGATATAATTACGAGGAAATCTGACAGTAGAAAAACTTGTTTTGTTTGGTTTCTGTGCTGAGTTTATTGCCCTTGGTTAGTTAGACAAGCTCATTTTGAGGCAGATATCCTTGTAGACCAGCTGGTGACTACCTCACTAGACAACACAGTATGGAACCTGTGGCATGCTATCCAGAGCAATTAGAATATAACACAGCAACACATACAAGTCTCTAAATCTGTATAAACATTTTAATTATTGCTTTTGAATATCATTGTTATGTCATCTGGATATAGAATGATGAAATAAACATTTATACAGGAATGTTTTAATAATCAAGTGCTATAAAGGAGAAAAAATACTATCCTTATCAACATGAATTAAAATGGTATAAACAGTGATTTCAGACAACAAGGTTAATGGTCAAGTATTGTAACTTTCAGACAGGACAACAAGGTAATTAGTCATTGGTCAAGTATTGTGACTTTCAGACAGGACAACAAGGTTAATAGTCAAGTATTGTAACTTTCAGACAGGACAACAAGGTAATTAGTCATTGGTCAAGTATTGTAATTTTCAGACAGGACAACAAGGTAATAAGTCATTGGTCAAGTGTTGTAACTTTCAGACAGGACAATAAGGTAATTAGTCATTGGTCAAGTATTGTAACTTTCAGACAGGACAACAAGGTTAATAGTTACTGGTCAAATATTGTAATTTTCAGACAGGACAACAAGGTAATTAGTCATTGGTCAAGTGTTGTAACTTTCAGACAGGACAATAAGGTAATTAGTCATTGGTCAAGTATTGTAATTTTCAGACAGGACAATAAGGTTAAAAGTCATTGGTCAAGTATTGTGACTTTCAGACAGGACAACAAGGTCAATAGCCATTGGTCAAATATTGTGACTTTTAGACAGGACAAGGTCAATAGTTACTGGTCAAGTATTTTCACCAACTCATGTTCAACCTGACCTTATTGTATGAAAAATTCAAACTAGTGTGATATTGACTTTGACTTTGGTAACATAAATCTGTGCAATTATCAATTTGACATTAACCTTGGTAATATAAACTTATGCAATTGACCTTGAACTTGGTAATACCTTGACTTGTGTAATAATGATTTTGACCTTTATCTTGGTAAAATAAACAAATGATCTTCACCTTGGTAATATAAAACTTGTGAAATTGACCTTAACCTTGGTAATACAAACCTTTGCAATTGACCTTGACCTTGGTAATATTAAATCTGTGAATTGACTTTGACCTTTGTAATTTAATCCTGTGTAACTATGAATTTGACATCATTGCATATGAATTGGATATTTTGTAATATCAAATAATTTTTAGAAGAGGCAGGAACTGACACTTCAGATATTAACTTTGTATGAGAAATAACTACAAGAAAATTTAGTGTAATTGGTATAATATATTAATGATATGTTCTGAGTATTACGAGAATATTGCAAAGATTCATCAACACTATAAAAAATGCATATTTTTTAATACTAAATTTATAATGAATTAGTTAAGGAAATAACACAACCATGATATATTTTACAGAGACTAGTTAAACCAGAAATATTTACTGGATAAAATTTGTACAAAATAAAGAACAATGATTTTGCTGCAATTCTTTGTAACACATTAACTTCCATCATCAGAAAACTTTGTAAAATATATAATTCAAACAGTTAATTTACCTGATTATGACTGAAGTTTATTCTAGATGTAAGATCATACTGTGAAGCACCTCTTTTTCAAGCAATAGTCATAAGCAACTTCATTTGAGAATTCCAATCCTTCACAATTACACTTTTGGCAATGTTGCCCTTAGATAAATGATTTTTGTAGTGTAGTACCTAAAACAGAAACAAAACTGTCAGGAAAAAAATTCAATGTTTTCCTTATACAACATAAATTATTTTGATTGCATTGATTTTTGTTTGAAAACAAATACATACAATTTGTGTTTAGATCAAGGTTAGATCTAATCATATTCTGTGGTAAAACAATCAGATTCTGTGGTAAAACAATCAGATTCTGTGGTAAAACAATCAGATTCTGAGGTAAAATAATCTGGTAAAACAATCAGATTCTGTGGTAAAACAATTAGATTATATGGTAAAACAATCAGATTCTGTGATAAAACAATCAGTTTCTGAGGTAAAACAATCAGATTCTGTGGTAAAACAATCATATTCTGTGGTAAAACAATCAGATTCTGTGGTAAAACAATCAGATTCTGTGGTAAAACAATCAGATTCTGTGGTAAATCTATCAGATTATGTGGTAAAACAATCAGATTCTGTGGTAAAACAATCAGATTCTGTGGTAAAACAATCAGATTCCTAGATAAACTATCAGATTATGTGGTAAAACAATCAGATTCTGTGGTAAAACAATCAGATTCTGTGGTAAAACAATCAGATTCTGTGGTAAAACAATCAGATTCTGTGGTAAAACAATCAGATTCTGAGGTAAAACAATCAGATTCTGAGGTAAAACAATCAGATTCTGTGGTAAAACAATCAGATTCTGTGGTAAAACAATCAGATTCTGTGGTAAAACAATCAGATTCTGTGGTAAAACAATCAGATTCTGTGGTAAATCTATCAGATTCTGTGGTAAAACAATCAGATTCTGTGGTAAAACAATCAGATTCAGATTCTGTGGTAAAACAATCAGATTCTGTGGTAAAACAATCAGATTTTGTGGTAAAACTATCAGATTCTGTGGTAAAACAATCAGATTCTGTGGTAAAACAATCAGATTCCTAGATAAACCATCAGATTCTGTGGTAAAACTATCAAATTCTGTTGTAAAATAATCAGATTATGTGGTAAAACTATCAGATTCTGTGGTAAAACAATCAGATTCTGTGGTAAAACATCAGATTCTGTGGTAAAACAATCAGATTCTGAAGTAAAACAATCAGATTCTGTGGTAAAACAATCAAATTCTGTTGTAAAACAATGAGATTTTGTGGTAAAACAATCAGATTCTGTGGTAAAACTATCAAATTCTGTTGTAAAACAATCAGATTCTGTGGTAAAACAATCAGATTTTGTGGTAAAACAATCAGATTCTTTGGTAAAACAATCAGATTCTGTGGTAAAACTATCAAATTCTGTTGTAAAACAATCAGATTCTGTGGTAAAACTATCAAATTCTGTTGTAAAACAATCAGATTATGTGGTAAAACTATCAGATTCTGTGGTAAAACAATCAGATTCTGAGGAAAAATAATCAGCTTCAGAGATTTTCGGTTGTTTTATCCATAATTTGTGACTCTACAGTTTTCTGTCCTCTTCCAAGGTAGTATCAAAGAAAGTAGATTTATGATCTAACCCTCAACAGTTTTCTGTCCTCTGCCAAGGTAGTACCAAAAAAGGCAGATTTATGATCCAACTCTAACCCTCTACAGTTTTCTGTCCTCTGTCAAGGTAGTACCAAAGAAGGCAGATTCATGATCTGTGGAAATGACTGTTAACCATATAGCAACAATTTCTTGAGAATTAAATATTCTAACTTTATATCAAATTTTCCAAAATTGATTTTTTTAAGACAGTGATGCAGAAAACTAGAATCCAACACATGAGCTCTCATAGGAATGAAGGTTGTGTTAGCTGGATACGTCTCAATGTTATATATCAAAAATTGTTATTTAATAAAAATAATAAATAATTAATTTCGTAACTACTGTAAAGTTTATTGTTTTTGAGAGGTTATATTTTTTGAGAATCAAAGAAAAAACCATTTAAAATTTACACCTCAAAAGTAAAATAAATAGAAGATATCAAAGGCCATTTAATGTATTCTGTAAAAATTACATCCAAGCTTTAAGCCAGGGAAATGTTTAACCATTGATAAAAGGACACTGTACAATATACATATCTTAAAAATCTGAAAGTATTTTATTTTCGTTATGGTCCAAAAATAATTGGAAATTCTTTCATTTGCTTAATGTTCGGAATGAAGCAAGTGAATATATCTGTTTCTACTATATATACTAGTTATCTAGTGATTAGATTGTAACGTTGTAATTGTTGTCATTATTAATGAACAATAATAGACATTAGACAGACTAATTGGCAGACATCGGAAAACTTGCCAGAATACAGTGATAAATACGTAAATCATGAGTCATTGTCCCAGTAGAATCGCAGCTTGCCCTGAATATCATCAGGTGAAATAGGTGGTTTTGTACCCAACTCACATTTGTTCTTATCAGCTGAATGAGAACCTGTCACGGTTGAGACATTTGTTGTCACTGTAGTAACAGGAGTTTGTGGTAAACCTCCTTTTGAAGTTGAACTTTGTTTTGTAGAAAGTTTTTCTGTTGGCAATTGTGAAGTCTTTGGAAGAGCCAGATCTTGTTCATTTGAGTGATTGAATGACTGATCTGGTTCTAATAAAGGTTTGTAACATGTGTCTTGATCTGAAAAAAAAAGTTTTGGAACAAATTCTTGGTTTGTTTTTGTTGGGAACAGAAATTTGTGTGAGGTATTATGGCTGTTACTTTGTAGTAAGGGCGTACAGGCTTGCATTTCTTCATCTCTCTCATTGAAACTTTCATCTTTCATCCCTGAACGTCTCGCTGAACTTAAAAAATTTTCATCATTTTGATCAAACTGTTTAGAGTTTTCCCCTAGAGAGGTGTTGTTATTTTCCGATGTATTAGGAAGACCGAGATCCGAGGAAGAATTTTCCCAGGGTTCCACATCAGCAGTGATAACCATAGACTGATAGTTATACCAGGAACTAGAACTGGAAAAACTAGATGAAAGTGGAAGACTTGTTGGTCGCTTAATATCAGATCGAGAAAATGTACGTCGTTTATTTAATGCAAACATAATATCACATTCTCTTAAATTACGATTTTTCCTCAATCCAGAAAATGTCTTTGATTTTGGTATAGATGAGTTTGATGTATGATTTGAGGTTTTAGCATCCAAACAGGATGTGCGACCTGGTACGGGACTGTCTAATTCATACTCACATAGCCTGGACATTTTTGGGTATGTTTGTGATCTGAGGCCCTGTAAATTTTCATTATAACTGTCAATATCAAGTTCCTGGTCACTGAAATCACATTCTGTATTCATGTCATCCATTTCATATACTGTGTCAGTTTCCTGCTCACATTTCTGTAAAATAAACACAGAATTTTTCTTCTTGCAGAACATGAGAATTGCGATTGTAATTGTTAGTGTAATTGACACAAAAATGCTCATAATTACAATGATAGCGGTTCTGTGGGAGTAAATCACACCTTTCGTTAGTCCTGACTCCACCCGAGAGAGCTGGTAACCTGTTACCATGGTTATTGTTGTGTTGTTAGTGTCAGTAGCTGTGCTGTTTTCCCACATGGAATATGTCTGCCCTGTTTCTGCATTAAACGTTTCCTGGGAAATAGCATTGGAGATTATTCCCACATACAACCAAAGGGCAGATAACTTAATCATACAGCTGACAGTTAGTCTGATCGTGTGATACATTGAAACTGACAGCTAAGTCCTAATCTTCAAGGGTAAAGGGTCTGTGTGTCACACATCAAACTTCATCCACAATGATATATAACTTTGTATACTATGATACGTAACTATCCAAAGGAATCTGTTACCAATTTTGTAACTAAATCCACAAGAATCCTTAAATTTTTCCACGAGAATCTGTAACTAAATTCCACAGTTTAGTTACATCATGTAAATTTTAATCATGTGTTATAAAATTCATTATAACCTTGAAGTGAATTTCTTAGTAATTTTGTTACTTGGTAACTTAATCCACAGTATCCAATAATTTTATCTTTATAGAAATCTTCAAGTATTCCATCAACTCCACATTATTCTATCTTTCATAAACAATCCACATTACACCAAACATATATGAAATCCACACTCTAGTCTTTGGACTTGTGCTCTTTTCAAATCTTCATTACTTTGTCTTTTTTTTGGCTCAATTTTTCTTTGTCGTCTATTTATGACATCCTTAATCTAATCTTTGTAATGATATTTATAAGTGGCATTATCAACATTAGGAGTTTCCCATAAATCATGAATGACAAACACTTGTGTGAGTTTGTGTGCAAGTATAAACAGGAAGGTTATCTGATACTTGAGTGAGTTTGGCTCCAGTGATACACAGGAAGGTTAACTGATGTTTGAGTGAGTTTGGCTCAGATGATACACAGGAAGGTTAACTGATGTTTGAGTGAATTTGGCTCCAGTGATACACAGGAAGGTTAACTGATGCTTGAGTGAGTTTGGCTCCAATGATACACAGGAAGGTTAACTAATGTTTGAGTGAGTTTGACTCCAGTGATACACAGGAAGGTTAACTGATGTTTGAGTGAGTTTGGCTCCAATGATACACAGGAAGGTTAACTGATGCTTGAGTGAGTTTGGCTCAGATGATACACAGGAAGGTTAACTGATGCTTGAGTGAGTTTGGCTCCAATGATACACAGGAAGGTTAACTGATGCTTGAGTGAGTTTGGCTCCAATGATACACAGGAAGGTTAACTAATGTTTGAGTGAGTTTGGCTCCAATGATACACAGGAAGGTTAACTAATGTTTGAGTGAGTTTGGCTCCAATGATACACAGGAAGGTTAAACTGATACACAGGAAGGTTAACTAATGCTTGAGTGAGTTTGGCTCCAACGATACACAGGAAGGTTAACTAATGTTTGAGTGAGTTTGGCTCCAACGATACACAGGAAGGTTAACTAATGTTTGATACACAGGAAGGTTAACTAATGTTTGAGTGAATTTGGCTCCACTGATACACAGGAAGGTTAACTAATGTTTGAGTGAGTTTGACTCCAATGATACACAGGAAGGTTAACTATCATCTGATGTTAGAATAAAATTCCTCTTAGGGAAATTGATTAAGCCATGAAGAAAATTGGCTTCAATACCACATTGAGATGTTCACTAATCCATGGATATGTTCAGCTTAAGATTACACACTGGAAGCTAATCCATTTAGTCTAGATATATTTTCTTTTCATTTTTTATAAAACATGAAAAATCTGTCTTTTGTTGTACATATTTTGCTTTAAATCCATTCGTAATGTACAGTTCTAATGAAAATACACAGTAATTTCTATGAGTGATATCCACCTACAACAGATCACACACTGTGGTATAGTTCACATTTAAAGCAAAACACGTTTTTTCCACTTTGAGTGGTAATTCAATCACATGCCATATTAGTACATTACACTTCCGTGTATGATAATCCATCTACCACAAAGTATATAGATGGTTCTGTGATATTGTTGACATAGAGGCCTGGGGTTTTTATGTAACAGTGACCGGTAAATGTGACGGTGATTATTGTTATAACATATTGATGTTATTGATCTTGTGGACTACAACTGTCATTCCTACGATATTTCGTCCTGTGTATGTAAGGCCTTTGATTGTTGGTATATCTGTGAGTCGCTATCAGGTGCTGCTCTCGAAGAAAGCCATTACCTGCCTGTCGATCTCCATCAGGTGTTCAAGAGTGAGAAGTCTATCTGCCAGATCTAAAAATAGAATTTCATCAACAATTAGTCATAAATAATCAAGCACAATACAAATGAAAGGAAAGATCATATACGGAGCTAAATTTTCACGAGTATTTTTCTCTGTTACTCCAGTGACCTGTCCTATTGTAGCAAATTTTACACATAATTCAGCAAATTTGTTATCTATTTATGGAAATTTGCTTTCAAATCAGTCAATTTTCTTTGCAAAATCTTCAAGAAAATCTCATTTGAAATTTATTTCAAGTTTTTAAAAAATGAATTTGTCTTCTCTTTAAGGAATTTTCTGTCTAGGTTTTACAAATATATAAAAAGAAGATTCCTAATTTTGAATTAAAATATTGTTTTTTCTGAAATAATGAAAGGAAGTAATGTCTTCATAATTATTTTTTTTCTATTTTATCAGAATTTTTATACATAGTTGATTTAAACTTCATTTATATTTCATTATATTATTAAGATAAAAGATTTTTTCCCCAATATGTCAAAAAATTCTTTGAATAAGAATTGAAAATAGACAATAGAAAATGTTAGAGATCTGTGATGATTTAGGTTGATGGGGGATAGGGGAAAGGGGAGGGAATGAAGAAAATGAAAAATTAAGGAAACAAGATTAGACAAGACAGCCAGGAGAAACATTGAAAAATAAAACCAAAAATCATGTTGGATACACATGTGTGAGATCTTGAACATCTATACGCTATTGTTATACTGCTAACATTTCTACCTTCAATATTTATAGACTTTACAAAGGATCAAAGTAGATGATATACAAGTGTTGTTGGGAGAGAAAAAAACCAGCACTTTTGAATACATTAGTAGTAATAAAATGTAACAAACGATGGCGAGATTACAAATAGTTAAGGGTTCCACTGGGTTTTATACTACAATGGTGAACAACTTCTTCAGACACTTGAGACGGTGTGTACTGACTTTATATAACCTAGGGCAGGAACAACGTTCTATGCAAGCAACCCAATCTTAATCTTAAGGACAATGGCAAATATTCATTAACTTACAACCTCCCTGACATTACAATGGATTCAACCTAATCAATGTAAAGTAGATTCCATTTTAAGAAGAAAGGGGAGGGCAGGTTTTATTGAACCAGAATTAGAGGTATGCAGAGAGAACTAGAGAAAAAGAGCAGGTTGAAAATGAAAATTACACCGACACAGACTATGTAATCTCTGTTGTCATCAGTTTCAATATCAGAAACCTGTGTTTTATAGAACAGAATCATGTCAGGATATACAGTGTATCATGTAATGTTGTCTGAAATCATTTTTCCATTACAAGGTTAATTAGTCTGGGAAAACCCTGGAAATGACAAACAGCTATCAACTGTTCTAAATTTAGCAAAATAATCTTAAAGGGGCAATTTGAATGAGCTGAATTTGACTAAATGAGCATTATTGAAAATGTACATGTACATAAGCCCAGCCATATTTTGTTGTTGTTCAAGAGAATTGCAAATAAATGACTTTGAGGTGAAAATGTTGTGGAGACTTTGCGAAATTTGCATTCATGTGCTTTTTAAAAGACAAACGGATTAGTCATGCATCTGACATGCTTAAGTTGATTGCAGATTGTTTGTGTTTTTGTGTCAAATTGTTATAAAATGTATGTACTTTTAGGTTGGTAAATGCCAATCAGAAATGCCAAACTTTTGTGTTTTGATGTTGAGTTCAAGTTTGACTTCCAGCTGATTTCCATATGTAATGGAAAAATCATGTCAATTTCTGTATTTGAATTTTGATTGTGTATCTCCGAATCCTCCGTCCCTGAACCATTGTCGAAATGCCAATAATTTTTACATAAGGATTCAGCATAGCTCCAGTATTGTAAAGATTAATTATTCCTGTGATTTAAATTCTGTCTGGAACTCTCAGGAGGTTTTTACATATCTGATTCAATTCTGACATCCCATAATAGTTGGTAAATATTAAAGAGAACACATGCATTATATCACTTGTCGCCAGAATCAAACATTTCCCGAAGTTTATTAATATTCTGATCTCTTACATATTTTCAAAACCCAAATTTTCCATGACGTGTTTATGATTCATTTTAAAATACAATGTGGGAACAAAGTTCTTTAATTCTAGTGCCAATTAGAAAGGACCTCCAGAAAATATTGATAACTAGGGGTAATTTTGATAAAAAAAATGATTTTGCAAGATAAGGATGTGGTATTTTTAACATAGCATACACCCTGAAGGAAAGCTGTAGTAGGCTTTCATTGTTAAAGTGTGAATTTGAGGGTTTTCTTGTAAAACCAATTTTCATGATGTAATACTTACTACAACTTTAGTTTGCAAATATGTCTTATGGTAGAGAAGGCTCTCACATCCCAGCACCAAATCCAATACAGGGCATTGAGAAGAGCAGAGTAATACCTAATTGGAGAGGACGGAGGGGGACATGGCTGGCCAGATAGGCCCCCTCCAACCTGTCATGAAAGCATCTGTATACAGGGTCATAAAGGGACTTGGCCTGTACAGGGGGACACATGTAAAAACGTTATCCCGACAAGTCCACCAAGCTGCAAAGTCCTTCACCGACTTGGTTAAGCATTGCTTCTCGATCCCTTGGAGCAGGGACCCAATTGGCGAAGCAGGAACATTTGCAAGGGTCTGATGTGAAGATGCCCCAAAGGAACCACATCTGCCAGGGAGTTGAGACATCCCAGAGACCTGAGAAACTAACACACCTGAACCTGAGACATGTTCATGAAGGTTAGAGCTAAGTCACAAGCCTTCACAAGCTTGCCTTCTGGTTGGAGGAGAATGCCCATTCGAATGTCGAATGTCGAAACAGTAACCCAGGAACACGAAGTCCTGAGAAGGGGACACCTCCGACTTCTCTCTGGAGGGAATGAAGCCTACCTTCAGCATGAGCTTCAGGACCAAGCAGGTGTCCCGCACCATGAGTCCCTGACAACTGCAGGAAACTCACCACC